CAATCATCCGGTATTCGTAACTTCCCGCTTCACCTTCGCTCCACTGATTTCAGAGCTTGTTACGTTGATTAACCAGATAATGTCCTTTCTTTCATGAGCCGTGTTAGCCTTTCTTTGTGCCTACTGCCCGCAGCACGCGGTAGTCGATTTCCATATTAGAGGAGGAAACAGAGGATACATTTTTTGAAAATATTTTAGTCATCGAACAACACATAAACGATTTCGCCCTTCCTACGCCAGCCAAGTTCATCTCCGTCCTGCACTTTAATACAGCCACTTATTACTAACAGACAGTTCTTTTTTCTTCCATCGCCGCTGCTAGCCAATTACTTTTGTCATTACACTTACCAATACCAAACCTATCACGCACTTTTCTGCATCCTTTTTACCCCACCCAAACTTTGCATTTGCATTCAGATCACTCATGAGGACCGTGTATGTGTAGTTAACGATCAACGTCGATTCGAGGTCAGGGTAGAATTTCTTAAACTTGACGCTTTTGCTGAACGTTGTGAAGCTATAGACCTGGCTTCCTACGAGAGTTTTACTAGCACACCGATGCGACCTAAAAATTTTGAAGGATACGTCATTTCCCAAGTAAAAATGATGGGCGATGATCAGCGAAGATTACTTCCTGAAAACAATAAGTCGGAACTCGTTAGCATTCTATCACATCATGCAACATTGTTTTACAATAACTCCTCTCGACTTTGATGTGTCCGGCCCCTTACCATGTTTCTTACAGGCAGAACACATGGTAGATGTTCTGCTGATTTCCTAGGCATGATTCCTGTTTTTGTCACTCGACAACGACCTACAATTGAAGGTATGTACCGAGACATACAGCTTGTGCCGTGGCGCCGTTTTTCGTCATCTGAGTTGTTCAATCCCCTCGTCTTTCGTTGTGCATCCAACGCCTGTTCAGTAATTTTCCAGTTTCAGATCGGTGCTACTGAATACTATGACAAACGCCATCATAAAAAGTCGTATGAAGAGAAAGTGTCTAGGAAATGTGATGTCACTGTCAGCGCAGCAAATCGTTTTCCTTTTGAATGATGGACGTTTCAAATTTTTCATAAAAATCACCAAAAAAAGAACGTTTTTAATGATTAGTGATAAAAAGTGTCCCTGGATACT